CAGGAAAAGAAATACCAAAAGGATGAGGAATCAATTGACTTTGATCTAGTTCAAATTCAAGTTTGGAAACCATTAGTTTGTTTCTATTTCCCAAGATTTGAAAAGGCATTGAATATTAAGAATTGGATGCATGTATTAAGGAGAAGAGTTGCTCACATCAAAATTAATGGAGCCAACTTCCTTCCAATACTCAGAAGAAAAGAAGGAGATCCAATCTATGATTTCAAGAGTGATGACGGCTTTATTGAAAATTGTGAATATATCTACAAGTGTCCATTGAAATTTAATAGCTTGGATGGATATGGAGATGAACGGTCATGTAGAGTGTGTGGAAAGAAGGTTTACAATGTGGAAAATATTAGCACATTCAAAGACTACATTTCAAAAGGGTATTGCATTTCATTGGGTATGTCTGAGGAAGAAGAGATGGGAGAGATGGCTGAATTTTACTAGTAAGGAAACTTAAGATCTTTCTTATCCTATTGTCCCTGCAAAAAAATAAAGTGGATGGTTGTTTAGTGTTTTTGTTTTTTAAGAAACTCCTTAAAGATTTATTAAGCTGATACAATAATTTTAATAAATCCAACTAAAAATGCAGGGAGATTTTTCAAGTGGATTAATTATTTTTAATAAAACCATCCTTAATTATCACGTGCCCACTTATAAATATTTATAATGGGGGAATGGTGTTGTGAGGTGTTAATGAGATAAATTATAACCATTTTTTATTAAAGACACAATAATTTCATTCCTGGATGAACCATAGTTACATTTATACCATTTCCATTGTCAACTTTAATTACTGGAATAACATTAAATGTTTCTTTAAATTTGGAAATATTATTTGTTTCCACATTTAAGTAATAAAGTTGACCATTTTGTTTGTTTTTGAAATAGGCATACTCTTTAGTTTCAACAATAAAAAACAAATCATTTGGGGATTTAGTATATTTAAAACCATTTAGTTTTTGAATATTAGTATCAACATGATTTAAATAATTATTATATGTACTTGTTAAGTCAATAAATTCTAATGCTGTTTGGTTTGAATTATGATTTTTATAGAAAGCAATAATATTCTTATTTAAACTTTCAAAACCAAATAAAGTATTTGCAAATAATGGACCATGTGTTCTAAAAGTATAACCAAAATGTAAAAGTAAATGTGTTTTTGTGATACAATATTTCTCACCATAAAAACGTTTAAACCATATAAAAAAGGCAATCAAATTATTTTCACATATAGTAACTCCTTGATTATTTAAAGGAAAATGTAATAAATAAATACTTTTGAGAAATATAGAAATATATTTATATTCCTCATTTGAAATAACATTTTCTAATAAACTAGAAAAATAAAAGAAAAATATTAACCATTCTTTTGCTTTTAAATAAGCAAAATGCTTCTCAAATGATCTAGGTTTAAATTTAACCCAAGAAGGAAGTTTTTGTTGTAACCATTTTTCATCTATTTTTTTAAGAAATTGTTTATCTTTAGTTGACCATATTTTAAATAATTGAATAAAATATCCTAAACATAAAGTA